CGGTGAGGGTGGAAATGAAAAAATTGGTGAACTAATTGAAAACACGGAAAAACCTAAAGAGGAGACGACTGAAAAAGTGAGTAGAGGGATAGATGAAGACGAAAAAGCGAACACAGAGCAAGAACACCCTGGAGGAGGTAATCAAAATGATAGCATGAAGAAACCTAACCAGGAGGCTGAAAATTCGAGTGGTGGAAAAGATCAGAATAAGGAGAAGAACGCAGAACAGGAATACGGAGGTGGAAGGAATGGAAATGAGATCATAGAGAAATCTAAGGAGAACACTGAAAAAGTAAGTGGTGAGAAAGATGAGAACAAAATAGAGGACACAGAAGTGAAGCACGAAGGAGAAGAGAACCAAGACGAAAGTAAAGAGGAAGACAAAGAGAAAATTGAAGAAGTAAATGATACGAAGGATCAGGGCAAAGAGGAGAATACAGAACATGAACACGGTGGTGGCGGGAGCGAAAGTGAGAGTATAGAGGAAGAGGGAGACAAAGAGAAAACTGAAGAAGTAAATGATACGAAGGATCAGAACAAGGAGGAGAATACAGAACAGGAACACGGTGGTGGAGGGAACGAAAATGAGAGCATGGAGAAATCTAGGCAGAACACTGAAAAAGTAAGTGGTGGGAAAGACGAGATCAAAAAAGAGGACACAGAAGAGAAACACGAAGGAGAAGAAAACCAAAACGGAAGTAAAGAGAAAGACAAAGAGAAAACTGAAGAAGCAAATGATACGAAAGATCAGGACAAAGAGGAGCATACAGAACATGAACACGGTGGTGGCGGGAGCGAAAGTGAGAGCATAGAGAAATCTAGGCAGAACACTGAAAAAGTAGGTGGTGGGGAAGATGAGATCAAAAAAGAGGACACAGAAGAGAAACACGAGGGAGAAGAGAACCAAGAGGAAAGTGAAGGGGAAGATAAAGAGAAAACTGAAGAAGGAAATAATACGAAAGATGAGAGTAAGGAAGAGAACACAGAGGAGGAACATGCTGGAGAAGGGCATCAAGATGAAAGCATGGAGAAACCTAAAGAGGAGACAGAAAAATCGAATGGTGGGGAAGGTGAGAACCAGGAGGAGAACACAGAGCAGGAGTACGGTGGTCGAGAGCTTGGAAGTGAAAGCATGGAGAAACGTAAAGAAAAGACTAAGAAACCAAATGGTGGGAATGATGTGAACAAAAATGAGGACGCAGAAGAGAAGCATGAAGGAGAACAGGACCAGGATGAAAGTAAGGAAAAAGAGAAAACTGAAGAAGCAAATGGCATGAAAAATGAGAACAAGGTGGCAGAACAGCAACATGCCGGAAAAGAGCCTGAAAATGGAAGTGGGGAGAAACCTAAAGAGCAGACTGGAAAAAAAGATGATAGGAACGATGAAAATAAGGAAGAGAACGCAGAGCAGGAACAAGCTAGAGAGTTGGATCAAAAAGCAAAAGTAAACATCATGGTGGGCACGGAAAAAGGAGAACAAGCTGAAAACTTGGACGAAGCAGAACATCTAGAATCGGCGGATAATGGACAAGGAGTAGAAAATGAAGGATATGGAGGAAGTGATATACACTCAAGCGACGATGCAATTAAAGTAGAGAATGAAAAGGGGACCTCTAGCAAGACGTTTGTGAACAAAAGCTCCAGTCTTGATGAAAGTACAAAAAATGGTACGGTGAATATTGACGTTATGAAAGAAGCTTCAAGTAAGCATAGTGACGCACTCAGCGGTGAAGAAAAAGCCGTGGATGTAGGTAGTGACGAGAATATGGCCGAAAAATTGGAAAATGCTAATGTATTAAGCAATTCTGAAGTTGTTAGTGAGGAGAGAACAGCAGTTCCGGTTAATGGTGTTGATGAATTTCCTAACGGAAAAGAGGAACATGATGAGAAGCAGCTGAAAACCGTAGACGAACAGGGCAAGGATGCTTCGGATTCTATAGGTAGGAGGCGATATTTTACTTTATAGTGGAATAAACTTGCGAAGTATATTTGCACAATGATTCTAAGATATTTGTAAAACTTGGAGCCAATGCTAGATTCGAACCCACGACTACCCTTTAAGGGGCTCGCGTGTTGCCCACTTTACTAGTAAGGCCCTTGCTTTACCTTTCTCTCAGCCAGTTTTTTACTCTAACGGTGTCATCAGCAATCACCCAACAATGAGAATGATCCGAGGACCAGGATCACAAGTTGGAATTGAATTCTGTCAAGATGGGGTTGTAATCGAAATCGCAATGCTTAACTTTTTATTTCCTGCCTATTACTCGATTCAATTGGACTAAAGCGTCAGCTTAACTGGGTTCAATGCCTATTTGTGCTCACTGAGTCATTTCCGTTAACGGGTGAATTTTGATGGCACTATTAGAGTAAAAAACTGAGAGAAAGGAAAAACATGGGCCTCAGTGTTGCAATGGGTAACACTTGTGCTCCCGGAAAGGGTAATCGTGGGCCCAAATCTGGTCTGAGGTCTAAGATTTCCCGATGTTTCAGCATAATTCTGGTTGTATTTCACGTATTTTCCTGCCGTAAAGAATTAATAGGTAGCAAATGAAATGTTAAGCATTATCTGTACATAGTTAGGCATTTATATGATCTCGAATGACACCAAAAAATTCTCGGTCTCCACGTGCTATACGTCCCATTACTATTAATATAGCCATCATGAATTTCGTTTTTCAGTAAATTCTGAAAATAGGAAGTGAAAATTAACTTTCAGAAATCAACGATACGATAGAAAGCGGCACAGGCCCGATTACAAAGGTAGGGTTCCAGTGTGGCGAAAAAGTGCTTTTTACTTCTTGATTTATTTAGTGGTTCATTGCATTGCGTACCTACTTTCTCACATATCTGTTCAAATATGCGAGTAATTATTTGAAAAGCAGAAGTAAGGTGAAACAGTGGAGTACAAGATGAGGTTAACAATTTTTGAATAAAGGCATTGATTTTAGTGCATTGAGAACACAGTTAAGGTTAAAGGAGTGACAAATGACAAATGAAAACCAACCTGTTTTGGTAAGGGATTTGTCTGGGAAAGAAATCAATCTTTGCAATCCAACCGGAAACACTGCAGCGCGGCTATCTCAGGACTCCAGAGAGAATCGACTCGACCAGCATTCTGTAACATTCAAGATGAAATGAAAATCGTCAAGCAGCTGCCGAAGCTACACGTAAAAACTTGGAAGACCTTCGTGGACAATGGATGGGAGGAAACGAATCGAATGTGAGAAGTGTTGGGATAGCAGACGTAAAGAGGGCTCATATAAAATACGAGAAATAACGGCTTTTTAATTTCCTGAGCTTACACGAGTTTGATAAATTTGTTTATCTCGGCTGACGTCTATTATTCTAACTCTGTTTATTAAAAAATAATGGCATTGCAATGATTTGCTTGAGATAATTTGTCACTCCAAACTTTATAAAAAATAAATATATGCCTAAGAGAACTCTATCAAAGTACAATCTTATTGTTTCATGCTGAATGAGGAGTTTGCAACTGTCATGCCTATAATTCCAATATTTTTCAGATATAATCCGAGTTTTGTTTCACGTTTATACTTCACTCGATAAGAAATTTCCTTCTTTGAAAATCATTTTTAAAAATTTTTCATACAGATTGACAGCGCTAGCAAGGATGACGAAGTTGTCATCGAGTACAAATCGACACCAGTTCCTGAGAAAGGTATGTGATCTCTTCTCACCTGTGATAAAACTGTCCGAAATTCACTGAATAAATTAAAAGTTGAAGAACGGTTACACTTTCGATCTCTGATGCTTCCTCTATTGTCTTGCTAGTTTAACACCTTCGGAGTTCGGATGTCTACAAATTATTTATAGCCTAGAGCGATTTTCATTGTATTCAACTTCATTACTAGAATTTATTTGCCTGACGAATCTAGTCCTCATATATTTTTCGTTAATGATGTAACATCTAAAATATGAAAGAACTATTAAAAAACGTGCTAATGAGGGACAAAAAGGTGAAAAAGGAGGGGTCTCTTGTCCATGATGAACTAGGTTTCCTTTAGCACTTTCTTTCAGTTTTTTCTTTATTTCTACTCCTTCTTTTAACATGTAGTGGATTATAAATCTGTTGTTTTCTTTCTCAGCAATCGCGAGGTTGTTAAACAGCATGCGTTTACTTGCATACAATAACGCACACACAATACAACCGTAGCTGACATTTCGGCAGAATCGCCTTCTTCAGAGTCTGGAAGGGTGCACTAATACGCAACTTAGTAGGGAACTTCTTGGGAACATGTAGTAGATTTGTCACGCCAATGTTCCAGTTGCTACAACATTTCTAGCATTTCTATCTTGATTCCATCATTTCTTTGCACAGATTTAACAACAGTGACATCACTATGATCTTGCACTTATCACTAGTGAGGGAAAGCATTGTCATTTTAAAAATTCACCACTATGCCTTTTACACCATCACTTTCACACCATCGCTTGCACGTTTCAGGTGAACATCAACCGGTGGGGGAACACGCCGCCTACACAACTACCCGGTCGCTGTTGTTGAACACGAACACACCACTAACACTTCGTGCACACTACGTTAATTTCACTACGATGAACAAAAGAAAAGATAGAACCATCACATCACTGAAAAACACGTCGTTACTGGTAATGAAAATAGATGTCGATGATCAGGATTCCGTCAATTCGACAATGAAGCCACTAAAAGCGACAAAAGTTGTGCACGAGCCTCAAACAACGCTTTCGCTTAGTTCTCAACAGAATCGTAGCTTAAAACACTCTGAATCACCAAGATCACGCAAGCTAACAAAGAAGTCGGAAGTCAGGAGTGCCATAAATCGTAAACTGAAATCGAATCACTTCGAACGCTTCAAATCACACAAAAATCTCCTTCACACCGACATATCTGCTAAAAATTCCCTTACTTCACATAAAAAATCGGTCTATTGGGATTTTCCTAAGTCTAGGAACTTAACCGGTAGTGCTACGTTGTCAGAGATTCCGAAAAAATTGAGACCTCATGTGATGGCATCCTCTTCAAATTCGCTTAAATCTAAGAATTCCTCATCCATAAAATCTTTGTTAAACATTCCCAAGTCCATAAAATTCTCAAGTAAGGCGTCAGACGTAAACACTCCAAGCTTCACCCATTTGTCCACCCAAAATTTGACATCAGTTTCTCCGAAGCCAGTAATGTTCTTCATTGAAACGACACCGCTTAGCTTCGCTTCTGCTTCTTCTTTCTTTTCCGATAAAGCCATTAGAATTCCAACAACAAAGCATGTTCCATTTAGCAAGACCTCTTTAAATGGAAGCAGTTCACTGAGTCTACCACTCATCAGTTCATATTTGAATTTCTCGAAAGACGATATGGTGTCAGATCAAAAACAACATAGGGAAGTACATTCTATAAGACCAAGTACACGCAACAATACACAAAGTCGAAAAGACAAGAACTCTCGCAAAATATCACGTTTGGAATTTCCACAACCAAAAGAGTTTTCCATATCGCCAACGCCGCTACCTAACGGAATGCCAGCCAGTAATAACCATGGGAATAGCCAAAGCTTTCTCATCTTGGAAGGTAGGAAATTAGGTGAAAGTTCTTTCAACGGTGTGAGTATTGTAGTCTCATCTAATAAGTCGAACTCAGAGGATGCTACCACTAGGCCTGAATTCAATCATCACTCTTCTCAACGGAGACCGATATTTTTGAACCTACCTGCGTTTCCACCACGGTTGCTTCCTTTGAATATAACTGTAACTCATAGAAAGATTCATAGATATAGGAAGCGAATGCACCGAATGGCTAACAGATCACCACGAGGGATATTGACAACGATGACCACCCTCGAGAAACCAGTGAAAAAACGCGATTTTCGTATAAAAATGATTCCCAAGTCCATAGTGGCAGTTAGTGTTGAAGAGAGATTGGCGGCTCTTCGGGTAGCTGAGTTAATGAAGGAACCTGAAAGTAGGAAATCGAGCTCCGATTTTTCCTCAATCAATGCTGTCACCACAGTAGCCGAACCGTCCAGTGAACCTCTATCCATGAGAGACAAAGCTGAAGACATTGTTCTTCCTTCAGTGGAGGCGACAACTGTTCTGCCTCATGTAACATTGCTAGGAGAACGAACAACGCCACATGAGGCACTACAAAAAGAAAAAGTTGCACGTGGAAAATCAAGAGTTTCTATGCGTGACGAGAGAGCATTAAAGGAAGTTCGAAAATCTCCGATTTCTTTGAATCCGGCTGGGAATTTATTGAAAAAGCACTATCAGCAGAGAGTACCAAAGCATCAACGTAAGCATTTCAGCATTTTTTTAATATACTTTTTCTAAACACTAGTTTATTCGTTTCTCCAATCAATAATTATCAAGTCTTAATTTGTTCCAAGCACCTTTCTTGACTGAGATAAGGCAAGCACAGATTGTCAAAAATCTAGTAAGCTAAAAAAGATGCAATCCACTTCTTCGTGAACACTACGAAGAATTCCGTATTTGGGCGAAAGCAACTATAATCACTTAAAGGATCCATCAACTAGCAGATTGCACAGCATGCTCGCTCATATCTCCCATTAACCAGTAACAAATAAACATATTTGCAATCGCATGAGTTGATTTCAATGCATGTATCGGAGCAGACTGGACTGTATGCACTCATTTCAAGTTTTTTTTTGAGGCAGTTTATTTTTCATGGCGCTCAGGTGATTTGATTTCGCTTTGATGGTTGGAACTTTATTTCATTTCTAATAATCTAGACGACCAACCAGCAACAATCGCAAGACCTGGCGGCGGACTGGAACCATCTGGCTACGGATCCAACGGTACGACGTTTAGCATATGTTTTCAGTTTTGACGCATGACTTCAATAGTTCACGGTGAGGCCATTTCTAGTACTGTTGATCACATTCTGAGAAGTACACTACTAAACAGTATTACCGACCGATTTCATGTAATGCTTGCTTGTATACTTGGATAGCTCATTTTCTCTAGTAGTGCGGGGCCCAGCTCATCTTCCATGCGTTTCTTCCTCACACAATCGTCGTCTATAGTGATGGTCTGCTTCAAACATGATGACGTCCGTGAGCACATTGTATAGTCCGGAGATTGTTTCCATGTACAGAAGCAGATGCTTGACGCAACCCACGAACAGGTCCGCACATCATGGAGTCCACTTCACTGCTTTCATCGCCAGTCTGTCATCTGTTCTTGTTGTGTGACCGGGCTATCTGTGCTTTACTGTCAATTTCTATTCTCCTAGATTTCGAAGATGAGTTAGGTTTTGAAGATTAAAGCTTCGCATTTTGTTAGAGTTATATGTGCCAGTTATACCCAGAAAACATTGTTTAAGTGCTCTGTGAGTAGTTCCCAGAGTTTTTGACGTGCTTGGAGCTTAAGCCCACGCTTCCAATGCATAACACAGCTCTGGGAGTTCCGCCGAATCAAAGTCAAAAAAGTGAGTGTGGAGTTTTGGGTCTGTTAGATTGTCAGTGGTTTTTTGACAGGCCCGAATACGACCCATGCCACTTTCTATCTTCTATCTAATTTCTCCTCCATTTCGACCTTCATCCTCATTTGACGCTCAAGGTACAGGTACGAGGTGGTCTCTGTAATCAAAGGGCCATTCAGTCTGATTTGTTCGTTTACGCATCATGGTTTTCTCATGAACTGTGTCTTTTCTCGATTTATGCGTAGTGCCATCTTCTTCCCGCTTCGTTGAGATCACTGATCAACGTTTGTAGCTCGTATGTGCCTTTTGAGAAGATTTTTCTATTTTTTATTTTTTTATTTCGTCATTAAAATGACGATTTGATGGGAGCTTTCCATCAGTACCTATGCCATTCTCGTTTCAATCGAGTGAAATTTCATTATCCATTGCAGTGCAGCGGTAAACAACTTTGAATATATTGCGCTGCCTTCTCGAAAACCTGTCCTATGGGAGTGGTAACAGGTCGATGGAAAAGCTCTATTTTTGTGCTACATTTCGGATAGCACTCAACTAGTGTTCGTATGCAGGACGGCTGCATTCTTTGTTCAACGAGTGCTCATAGGATTCGACTCGTTTTGATCAATCGCTTTTTCTTAGTGGGCATAGGTTAGGACATGGGCAGGTGGGACTTTAGAAGATTTGTATGAGAAGGGCGCGGTGTGGTTGTGGTACATATAGCTAAAACCCTATTGAACCCTTACTTGCTCAACTTATTGTGCTTCATCCAATGTCGTTTATATGCATATTAGAACAATCTTCATGGACAATTTGCGGAGTACACTCAACAACCATATTGGATGATAGTTAAGAAGAACTGTTCGGTCAAACTTCTTGGGCAGGATGACCGTGTGCCACTTTTTTTTTTACCGTTCTTTGATTTTCTTCTTTCGAAGCTAAGTCGTCTTATGGTTTGCGAGAAATACATGTAATTTGTGGCCTCCGGCTCGAAGGAAATTTGCGGTAATATTACTGTGTCCTGAGGCTCTGCCTCTCTTCATGCCTTCTGTCGCAAATTGAAAGGCGGGATGTGATGACAGTATCATGCTTTCGATATTCTTGCTGAGCGAACACGAGGTGTTACCTAATTCTTTATTCCGTTAAAGCTGGCGTTTCGGCGGATTTCGTTTTCTTCATAGCCTGGAAGAGTATATTGATAGGCAATTTACTAAGTCAAACGCTCCGATAACACACACAGAAAGATGAAAATATAAATCGCAATAGTTCCTAGGATCGACTTTCTCTTAACCTCGGCATTGGAATATGAATGTGTCGTTTTCTTGTTCAGCAATCGCGAGGTTTTTAAACAGCATACATATACTTCCATAAAAAACACAATACAATACAACGCCAGCTGACGTTTCGGCAGTATCGCCTTCCTCAGAGCATGGAAGGGTATACTGATATACAATCTACTAGGCCAAACGCTTCAATGACACTTACAAAAAGACGAAAAACTCTTTTTTAGTTGGTAACAGCTGTTCTAAACTTCCTCATTGGAAGTAACGAAAAAGCGGTGGGTTTTTCGAGAAGTTGTTGATCATGTAATTACCAAAGAGTTTTTCGTCTTTTTGTAAGTGTTATTGAAGCGTTTGGCCTAGTAGATTGTATATCAGTATACCCTTCCATGCTCTGAAGAAGGCGATACTGCCGAAACGTCAGCTAGCGTTGTATTGTATTGTGTTTTTTATGGAAGTATTGCTGAACAAGAAAACGACACATTCATAAATCGCAATCTCACGATCAACAGCTTGTCGAAAAAATCCACCATTTACTACGTGACTTTAACTGAGGAAGAACAGCTGACCAGAGTCGCTTTTGGTTGATAAATGCCCCACTCTACATCAAAAGTCGATGCGAAGGTACGGGGCCAGATCACGTGTGATCTCTGGGCATTCCTCCCTGCTGTTCATTTTAGGGTTCCTGGTATTTATCCAAAAAGCCTCTAAAAATTTGCGCGTTGGTGTTCTGGCATCCTGTGCGAGGATATTCACTTCATCAGTATCATCTTCGCTTACCAGGACACAGTGGAACATTATAGTGGCATAGAGTCCGCCGGTGTTTCTGCAGAATAAATCATTTTTGAGTTCACAGTGTTGACTTTTTATTTGGTGGGTTTTACAAGTTTTCACGGCAGGGTATTATTTGTGAAACAACCACAATGATGCTGAGATATTTGAAAAAACCCGGCCTGCAGGTGTCCGCGGTGGGAACGAACGCGCTATTGTCCTTTCTGGGGAGTAACGTCCCACCGCAGACACGCGCGGTTCGGAGTTTAGCGAATATCCCAATATTTTTGAGTTGTTTGCTATAACCTTTTTTGCGTTACCGATGCAAATCCTCCGACAAAGATCTTTTTCAGCGGGCTTTTGTTGTCTGCCATGCTAATAAGTTGCATTATGATCAAGCTTCATCTTTCTTCTGTTTTCAACAAACTCCTTGGTGGTAGTGGAGATGCGCTTTGAACTTCTCATCTGAGGAATTGATGCGAGGTCGCCACAAGTTTTAAATCTTTAGACAAGCACCTTGCATTCCCTATTCAGGTCTTCTTCCATCTACTAACCATGTAGGAAGAAAGTTTTATCGACAATATCCTTGTCATACATGCCTTGCCTCTTTCTTTTTGACGACGACAAGATTCTTCTTATAGAGAAGGCGGTAATCAGTGAGACGACGACGACTTCTAGTCTTGGTTTACTTTTAAGCGGGCTTCCAGATTTGAACATCAAACTTTTCCCAGCTTCGAAGATCGGCATGGTGCCGTAAATTATCGGCGAATTTCACGTAATAATCACCAAGAATATAACGACAGGAATGCTGAGATATTAGCAAAATTCTTAACCCCAACTAAACTTCGAACCCTTTTTCTTTCCTGGGGTTCACGTGCTATACACCACACTAACCGAGGTCGTTGCTTTGGCTTTCTGTCAGCAAGTTTTTTATAACAAGGTTTTTAGCAGTGACCAAAAAGAACGATCTGGGGCATAAATCGACATTTGACCTGGTTAAGCCGAAGCTACGATGGAGATCACTATAACCGACTTTTGTTTGATGCCTTTTTCCATGGGCCGACATTATGTTAAATACAGTGAAAAAAGAATAGGCAGTAAATAAACGTTAACAGTGTGCTTTCAGCTGCGACTTCAGCTTAACAGGGCTCAGCACACATTTTTGATCCTCGGTTCATTGCTATTAACGGGTGGTTGCTGGTAGCACTGCTGGAGTAGAAAACTAGCTAAGAGAAGGGCAAAAGAAGGACCTTGATTGGTGTGGTGCATACACGTGACCCGCAGACCACGGAAGGAGTAACCTCGGTTTTGTAGCCCACCTGAAGTTTCAAGTTTTGCTCATCTCAGTATGTTCGTTGTTGTATTTCACATATTACATTGTCATGCCCAAAAAAGAATTGGCAATAAATAATGGTTAAACGTTGTGAATTAATAGAAATCTTAACACTGTGGGTTACGAATGCAGCTACTGTGATTCTATGAGAAGTAACTAAAATACGCGATCGATGATTATTTTGCTGGATAACTTTCTGATATCTTTATAGTTTTGCAAAGTTCTTCTTTTTTTTTTAAAGCCAAATCCAAGAAAGTACTTGGCGTCATATTTCAGAGACGGTCGTCGACTACGAAGAGGATTCTAAAAGTGCAGGTGATCACCCTAAGATGCATTCGTTTACAAGTGATTTTCCTCTATTTAAGTAATCGAATACTAATCGTGAAATAATTTTCCGTTTGTCAGCTGTGCGAGTATAACCCGTATTTTGGGACATTTTGTTGATTTTCGGTTCTATTTTTATAAGATATTATGTAATACTTGTCATTAAGTCCTTGAAAAAAGCAGTTATGGCTCCTCGAAAAGCAAACGAGCTGATAAGCCAGTTCTCTCAGATCGCGGTAAGTCTCGTTAAAGGTGAAACGTTCCACGAATATATCGCGAAAATTTCTTTCTGTTGATTTTTGCAGATAAGTTTATTTCTTTAGAGAAACACAGTCTTTTTCTGTAGCCTGATTTTTTGGCTCACTTCCTTAAAAACTAGCAATGATTTTCCTTGAAAAGTCGATGCAAGAAAGAAGGGGGCTCATATACGAAGTGAAAATATGATGTAACTAGTTGTTGTAAATGGTTTTTTCTAGCTTATTAACAACAAAAAAAAATCACTAAGAAAACTCGTTCTGCGGAAAATGTAATAAGTTGTATTTATGAAGAAATTTTGCAATTAAATTTACATGATGATATGGGTAATTAAGGGTTATAACGCCTTTATCATTAATAAACACTGTGAGCAGAAATGGCAAATTTTCTGGCAATTGTCGATGAAAACAAATGGAAAGAAATCATTATAAGAGAACTTGGAAGGTACAAATCAATAAATCGATTGATTGCCGAAGATAACTGAGCTGAAATGTATGTTTCTGTTGAAATTGACACATAGCTTCAGTTTTCTTTGTAGATGTTTTGCTTCCGGAGAAACACCTCGTCAAAAAGGTCGCCCTCCGTACACTCGGAATCAGTAGCACGACAAAAGTACCTACAACAACACGAGAGAAATGTAGTATTTGTTATTTTTTTACAAAAACCTCGTACAAAGGAGGAATAGGTAGTATTAAAATTCAGGAGTGCTTAGGATAATTCTTATCTAAGAGTGTCATATCAACTGAAAATCTCCTATTCCTCTACTATTTGAAGCACTTCAGGGTTTATTTGTGCTCATCGAGTTCCCTATTGATCTAAGCGAACCTTATAAGACATTTCTTGGAGAAATGTTTGAAGGGTAAAGGGTAAAGGATAAAGTGTAAGGGTTAAAGGATCCAGCTTCACCAGTCCGTGAGGGATGCGCCGTTAATTCAGCCTCATGAGTCATTCTAAAAGTGGTTAAACCCATGTCTGGCTGATATTATCACTTGCGATGGTTGGTCGATGCATCAAGCTAGTATTATATTTCAATCCTCCTCTTCAAACCTACAACCAATCCGACTTCGAATTTCCGACAAAGCCTGGTGAGCTCGGGGCTCAAATTAGTGACCAATTTAGTGTGTATTGCAAAGCTGCTCTAACCATTGTGGTGTACACGCCGTTGAGAGATGTTTTACTTTCACGGAATGGTCAATGTACAGTACACTTGGTATTTACGTTATTCTTATCCTTTTTAATTGGACTTTTCTTCATGATTCCATCAAATTTCTATGTCGAATCAGCAAGATTTATTTTGAAGTAACGAACTTTGAAAGTGGGGTATGCACCATAAATTGGCACTGTTTTCAATATAGTAAAAATTTTTCGAATATTATTTTATCGATCTATTGGGGACAATTGTTCCTAGACGATTGAGACAATATGCTCTATTCCAAGGTCACGGAGGTTGTTATTCATAGTAAAAAAAGGTGGAATATGTCTGCGTTCATCAGAGTTCGTAAAATTTGGAGAGAATGGTAAAAAGTGTCGCTTGACATTGTTGGGATTTGATTTAAACTCCTTCCAGATCAAGGGCCAGGCAGCACGTTAAAATATTATGAAATCAAAACCGATAATTCTTGTATTGTGGACCAACATTTGCTGATTTTTAGGGACTCCATACCAGTGGAACTGCGACGACGAAATAGACGATAAAGGAAAATTGTGTAAGGGATGGGCTGAAGGTGGCCTGTGCACTATGCACAAGGCTACGATGTTTCTATTCTGTCGAAAGACGTGCCTTTGTGTTGGGCCAAGTGTCTAGCACATATGTTTTTATATTATTGCTGATTGAATAGCTTTATTTGTAATGTTTGGTGGCGAATAATAAACAGCTGTATATCAGTCCAGTTAAAAAAACGATATGTGTTAATTTCCGTAGAAAGGAAATACAGCGATGAGCTCAACGACTGAAGATAGGTAAATTTACCGTTGGGAGGCACGGAATATTGGTACTTCGCTTCTCATTCGTAAGCGAAAAATCGTTTCCATTCACATTCCACATGTGCTCCCTTCCTTTTTTTCTGCTTTTAATCTTTGCATTTAGTTTGTTAACCTTAAGGTGATAAATAAATCTATTTCGGCTTTCGGCTCATCGAAAATGCTTCAAAAGTTAAGCTTTTATTTTCTGTTTCTGGTGTTTCTGAGGTGAGATAAAGCGCATTGAAAACGCGAGTCGAAATCGAATATTAATTTTAGAACAGACTAAAACATTGAACCTCGTGTAAGGTCATCAAAGAAGGAATGCATATTGATTAGCTCCACCGAGGTTCAATGAAAGTCGGTTTCGAAATATTACTCCGCCTTGTGCTAGCTGATAATAACACCGAGATCTGTAGGCTTGATTGTCCGGGAAAAACAAGTTATTATCACACTATCACCGCTCAATCACAGCTATCCACCATCAGCAACCTGCATAAAAAGGCATCACTGAGTGAGGATGCCTCATTCGAGGAGATGGTTCATTGAGGAAGACCTTACTCGACACGAAGACGAAGCCGCCACGTCGAGACGAATAACAAGCGTGGATCATCGAATCGAATCATTGCATCGGCTCTGAGGAAGGCCGAGACGTCGAAACGTTAGCCGAAGATAAATATATTTATCAACCTCGTGTACAAGAAACAATACATATTAATTAGTCACACCGAGGTTCAAGGAAGGTCGGTTTCAAAATACAACTTGTTTTATCCCCAGAATCCATCCTGCAGAAGTGGGTATCACTATCAAGGAACAAGGATCACGATAAGGTAGTGAAGTAAGGTAACTCTTAGTTGGGTTGTCTCTGATTTTACCTACATCTGGTGGTAAAAATGCCGAGTTTCCACTCGTGAGTTGCATATAGCCGCATCAATTCATTGTTCTCTCCTTTCAGGGTTTTAACTTTTTTCCTATAACATTCCGTAAATCGAATAGGCGCTTATTAAATATTCATGGAATAGCAGAGCTTTTTTTATAGTATACCTTTCTAAACACAAAAATGCACCAAGTGTCATGTCGCCCAGTTGTCAATGCGTGAAGAAGATTTATCTGCGGCCTTAATCTAAACTCATGAAAACAATGAAATATCGCTTAATTATGATAAGATTGACCGAACACCGAATTTGAGGAACTACCCATTTATTTCTTCAATCTAGTTTTTGCATTGTTGTGCAACGTAACATTACATTGTGCGCACGCTAGTACTTCTTTCAATCGGTTCGCCGCTTCCCATCTGTTGGTTTTCAAATTTGTTCTTGAAGGGCTTTAGGTCTTCGAATTTGCGGGTAATATCAATTGCTGCTTGAGGATCTTGATCCTTTTCATGGAATAGAGCTGGATCATAACTGAGTCGATTCTTTATGAAATCCTTCGCTGTCTCTGCTAAAGCGTTTCTAGATCTTCACCACAAGCAGTGGTTGTGCATCGTGTTTAGCTCACGGTAGAAAGACGGTAGGCACAGTTAGTAGAAGACGACTAGCGGCCCACTGATAACATATTATTTCTATATCAATCGACCATATTGAAAAAAATGCGTTCTTTGTACAATACTTACCCACCGCATTAGAACTCTCTGACGAATAAGAAGAGTTTTAGCGTGTATCAGAAAAGTGGCATTGCATAGAACTCACTCCAAACAGGACGAATTTCTTGTCGTAAGCTCGAGCAGTTCTGGATCCGCTTTTGAAATCTCTCTGCGATAAGTCACTTAGAATTGTATAAACCGATGATGGTTTCTGTTTTGCCAGTTTGCCTCAGCACAGCTTATTGATAAGTGTGACAAGTGTTTCAACATGCCGATAGAATCTCTATGCTAATATTTATGCCTTGGAATAAGTATGTTTACTTGCTCAACAGATATCTAACTGCGAGCAGTTGATATATTGTGCAGTTCAGATGAGCGACTGTGGTTGTGAGGTGCAGATTGACGTGCCGGCGTGGGTGCCAGGAGCAATCGCATTCGCTATTTCGGTGGCAGTGGCTATCGCAGTATGCATAACTTACATTCTACGGGAGATGGAAAGACACAAGGTATTGATAAAAGGTTTCGTAGAGTTAGCCTTCACACCGAATAAGAAGAAGTCTGAAGCCAAACGAGAGTCAAATATTCTAACGAATAATGCAACTGGCTGCAGAACTTTTACGGAAGAGAGGATAAGTTATCAGCGAGAGAACAACCCGCAGAGGCGATAAAGAAGGAAGAAATGGACACATATGCTCTAGGTCGATGCAGTGATGAGGTATCTTTCACTAAATGCCTTTAGTGCAAAAGAGAGAAAGCTTTCTTGTAAACAGAAGCAAAACTTCCATCAAATCATTAACTCACAACCGTACATGTCAATGAATTAATTTCGTCTGCCAACACATACAAACATAATAAGCTGGTTTTCCCATTTTCCCATAGGAGTTTAATGAATGCAGACAAAGCTCTTTCGAATTCTGCAGATATTGAAGCATCTTGAATCTTTTAGAAATGACTTGAGCACATCCAAATTAATTTTGTTTGTATTTTTGTTGAGCAAACGCGAGGTGTTATTATTCTTTGTTCACGATTAAGCTGACGTTTCGGCGGATTTCGCCTTCTTCAGAGCCTGGAAAGGTCAAGTTGATAGCAACTCACTCGGCCAGACGCCTCCATAACCAAACAAAGAAACTCCAAACCAAGATTTCAATCACTTTGAACACAGCTTTGCACACTCACCGCTTTCTATGAGGTCTCCACTAAGTATGTCACGTAGAGACCAACCGCACAGAAATCACGTGGAAGTATAATGTGCCCCTCACATCAGAAAAGCAGTTTTATATACTGCCCTATATCACGCGTGATAATGAGGCATTCTTCCCTGCGGTTCATTTTCGGATTTCTGGAATTAATCGAGAGTGCCTCGAGAGTTTTTCGCGCCTGTGTTCTTGATTCGCGTGCGAGGATCGTGACACATACTTCGAAGTCGTCCCCGTTATGTCTCTGGGTCCTATGCGTGCCTAGCGGGGTATTTGGTCTATTTTTGCCGGCTAGGTGTTCTTTCATGCGGACACAGAGGTGTCTACCCGTTTCGCCAATGTATTCGTCACCACACGTCTAACAGGAGATCAGATAAACTATACCCGAGCTCATGCATTCACCGTCTCTACCACTGGGGCAAATTATGCAATTTTGAGTTTCACATAGACGGTCATATAGGCGGTTACGAACTAGCTGGCGCTTAAGATTACTCGGTGGTATTTCAACTACGCTCACCGAATTCTCTAAGCCCGCCCTTCTTAAGCAGCGTTTTATAGCTGTACTTATATCATTTGAGATGAAGGGTAGGATAAACGGGACCCTTCTATCGCTAGAGTTGTCGTTTGGAGGCCTACGATTTCCTCTACACCTATGCTGAGCTACAGTTTCGTAGCCATTAGAAACGGCTATTTGTCGTGCCAACTTCCGGGACTCCTCTCTCTGCTCTCTTCCCGTGCACACGTTGGTTGCTGTTCGAAACATGTTTCTTATAAGCGCCCTTTTCGTGTGAGAGGGGTGAGAGGAGAGGTAATGAACCAAGATGTTTTTACTACATGGCTTTCGGTACCACTTTGTAATGTAGCCATTTTCTGATTGGCGAATTTGTACGTTCAAAAATGGAAGCCATTTTTCTTTCGGCTTTTCTCGCGTGAACTTGATATACTCTGACTGTGCGTTTAACAATTCGAAGCATTTGTCCATTTCCTCCTGTGTTGAGCAAAGGACAAAGCAGTCGTCTACATACCTGCAGTAGAGTAGCGGCCCGAGATCAGTCACCGGTGCTTCCACCTTCCCATCCAAATTAGTTTTAAGTCTCAAAAGAAAATTTTTAAAAATCTTAGAATAGCCGTATTCTAAGGCACCTTTATAAGGAGGAAGGTAGACGTTGGAAAAGAAGTTATTGCTACCTATCAGTATATTTGATGAGCATGAATATAATGGATTTCGCAAATGTGAGTGAAGGGTTTGGCAATTTCTTACAGCAGCTTTGAGGAATAATACAGAATAGTGGTTGCTTCAAAATTTTGTTCTAGTCTATTTCGAAACCGACTTTCCTTGAACCTCGGTGTGTCTATTCAATATGTATTCTTTCATTGATGAGCTTACACGAAGTTGATAATTATATTCATTTTCGGCTAACGTTTCGACGTCTTCGTCTTCCTCAGAGCCAATGCAATGATTCGATTCGATGGTCCACGCTTGTTATTCGTCTCGATGTGGCAGCTTCGTCTTCGTGTCGAGTAAGGTCTTCCTCAATGAACCATCTCCTCGAATGAGGCATCCTCACTCAGTGATGCCTTTTTATGCAGGTTGCTGATGGTGGATAGCTGTGATTGAGCGGTGATAATGTGATAATAACTTGTTTTTCCCGGACAATCAAGCTTGCAGAATTCGGTGTTATTATCAGCTAGCGTAAGGCGTAGTAATATTTCGAAACCGACTTTCTTTGAACCTCGGTGGAATTAATCAATATGCATTCCTTCTTTGATGACCTTACACGAGGTTCAATGTTCTAGTCTGTTCTAAAATTAATATTCGATTTCGACTCGCGTTTTCAATGTGCTTTATCTTATCTCAGAAACACCATGCTAACTGATATGAACACCTTTGTAAAGGACATATTTTTGTCAGTGGAAAAGGTGTTGATTCATACCAGTTGCGTAAAGCTTCTGAAATTCTCACTCCGATGAAGTCGTTGAAGAGGGCTGTTAAAGTTTCTGATACATTTTGTCGGCATCTTAGACGTACTTCTCCGTAATCGTTTCATTTGGATTCATGAACCTATGATAGATCAAAACAACTGCAAGCCACCAATGGGTCAGCGTCAATTTGCGCAATTTCTACTTTTGGAAGTGCTGCAGAGTATTATTGCCGCCTAAACACGAGCTGATCGTCGCTGGTCATCAGAGAGGATCCTCTCCACGTTGTACAGCAAATGTGGTAGCACAGCAAGAATAATAACTCATGCAAGAACGTATGCATAAAAATGAACTTACATATTAGACATCAGTTATTGAGCAACGTAATAGGTTTTTTTACGGTCATCGATAAAATATTAATCAGATTCCGGAATACTCTTTAATCCACCGCGCTTTACTATAAATACTAACTTGCTAAAAGATCGGTAATAAATCCTATGTATAATCTATAGTACATAACTGAAACTGCTCAGGTGCTCGTGATCAAAAGTCCTCCTCAAAGATCGGGCGGACCACCTTCTGGAAATGTTGGCACTGGCGTGAAGGTGATGCTGAGAAAAAAGAGGATCATTATGAAGACTCCAAACAGAGCGTATGTACCTAGTTTCACTTTTGTTGCATAAAAATTCATGCAACATAATGAATCCAGTGCAATTTGTTAAGAAGCAATTGTTTGTTTCTTTCATGAACGTTTTGCTTTGCTACTCGTTGTTTCTATAATAATAACAGATTTTAATAATTATGCCCAAGCATGAGGGGCCAGGTATCAAATGCGGGACAATTTCAATGGCTAGGATTGACTTTCTGTTAGCCTCGGAATTGTCGAATAACTTAACACTTTTCTGATGAACAGAGATGAGGTCGCTATTACAATACATATTTTGTGATAGCTGATGTCTCGGCGGATTGCGTCTTTTCCATGGCAAGACAAAATTGGTAAGCAGTCTACTCAGCCGGATACTTTTAAAACTAGTGAGAAAAATCTAAAACGTAAACTTTAACGCACGAGAAGCTTCTCCTTTAAACACTTGCACAGCTTTTTATAACTTTTCTGTATAACCTAGAAATTACCAAAGATGAGGTAACTAGTGATTGCAAAGATCTTCTTTTTTCCGTTAATCTTTAGCTTTTCAGAATGCATAGAAAATTCTTCGAGAGTTTTGCTCGCTTAAGCTTTAGGTTTTCGTGTAAAAGGTGTGACTCTATTCCAAAATCATTTTGGTTACGCCCATATGCCCTCCATGTTCCATTCGAAGAGTTTATCTTAATTTTCAATTCTTAAATCCAAATATGACCATAGTAAAAACTGCTCTGTTATTACACGGAACCTCCAAGACTTACTTTTTAACGTAAAGACGGCATATTCCTTTCCCTTCTGAAACTCTGTGCAAAGCTACATCAAGCAGTGGAAGACTCAGAAAAAACAGTGAGTGTTTAGAGAAGCTTCCTTCCATGAGAGTCTAGGCTTCCAGTTTTTTCTGTTTGTGTTACGAGTGTTTAGCTTAGTAGCTGCTATCAATTTGACCTTTCCAAAGTTGGATAATGTGGAATCCTTCAATGATGCTGAGATATTTGCAAAACTCCGGACGGCAAGTGTTTGCGGTGGTGAACGAACGCGCTATTGTCCTTTCCGGGGAGTAAAGCGTTCACCACCACACCATGAAGGTCCTTCGTTTCGCCTGTCTCTCAGCTAGTTCTATCGATTACAGCCATCAGTATTCACCTGAGTTTTGCAAATATCTCACCATCATTGAAGTTATATTTCGCAATATACCCTACCATTAAAAAGAGTAGACAGTAAATAAAAGGGCTAAGATTGTGGAATCCGCCGCACAGTCAGTTATGGTGAAGTAAATAGTGTGTTAGCAGCTCCATGTCTGCTAATTAAAAAGATGGTAACAATAACTTTAATATTTATGTACTCTTACAAGGATAAAAAAGACAAAACTCTCGGCGTTGATCAATCCTTGAGGGATGCGCCATGCATTCGACATCACCAAGTATCGTTGAAGATGATTGAGTGCATATCTGGCCTTTATAATGAATTACGCTGGCTGCCGATGTATCGGACTAGTGCTCCTAATCCTCCCGGTACCAAGCTTATCTGGTAGAATAGCAGCACTGGCTCGATACATCTGTAGGCCGCAGTGAGTCATTTTAAAGGCCAGATGTGCATTCGATCACCTCCAACGCTCCTAAATGAAGTCGAATGCATGGCGCATTTATCAGGGATTGATGAACGGAGGCACCTTTATCCCTTATTCTTTATCGCATCTCAACGCAAGGTACAAGTAAAAAAGAACAGTATAGTTGAGTATAGTAGGTTATAAGTCGAGATCGTCGGCAAATAAGATTAGCTACTCGACTGCTAGCCATTTCATTCCAATGTCGTTTGTTTCGTAGTCTGAAGAACTCTAGTCAGCTCAACAACACTCTTTCATTGTTCAATTCATCTTTTAGGACTTTGGGCGGTAGTATTAGTCTGTTGATATAAGTTATCTTGGTCACTTACGATCTTGGTTGACAGGAGTTTCCAGCGCTAGGATTTATGGTAGCCATTTCCATTCCATCTCTTTTAAAGAAGTTAAATATACAGAGGCTTGTTAGACGTAAATGGAATGTGTTTCGCAGAGTTTTTGACAAGAACATATTGCCTAAGCAGTTGCCACATAATACTCTGACCGTAAAGGCGAATTCAGAAGTGCGTTGTCAGCCTTCTTCGAGTGAATTTAGCCTTCAATTTTTGGATATGATTTTGAAATGAGCAGATGACAGTTGTATGGTGGTATTTGCCGATATCTGCAGCATGATAATAGCTCAATATTCTGCTGGCATTTACTTTTGTTTCAGTCCAACTACATCGATTCCAACCAGCGTTGAACAAGTATCACCGAATTATGTCAATATCACTGTGACCTACGACAAAACAGGAAGGGGTTTCGAGGTTTCCTATTCGATTTTTACTTGCGTTTGAAATTCTAATATAATGATTTTTGCATATTATGCCTTCTTTAATTTTAAAGAATCGCTTTGTTTCTTGTTATTTACGGTTATTGTTATTTTGTTAGTTTTGTTATTCTTCGGCCTCCCACCGGTTTTTCACCTCATTGTGGGTGGGAGGTGTTCCTGAACGTCAGGTTTCGATGTACAGTGGGCGGATTGGTCCCCCTGGCAGAGTCACCAAAGCTGGGAAGGAGTCCAGCGTTTTCATAAGGAAGCTCAGCTGAGAGTAAACCAATACCAGGATCCATCACCGTCCTGGTATCCAAGTAGTCCCAAGGTGGCAAGTCTCCCTCTCTGGTCGATAAGGGTGGCGACAGCCTCTGGTTGTGATGACGTAGGGCAGACTTTGGTCAGTCTGACCTCTGTACTCCAGAGAACCACAATGGCTAAGCCGGCAAAATTTCGAAAAAATGGGAATCATGCTGAATCCTGCACAACCAGTGCAGAAGGGGCATCGAGGTATCCAAATAAGTATGTAACTTCATTCTTTCACTTCGTTGTTCTGCTTTGGTGCTCGTGAAAATCTTAAAAGAAATTTGCTGATTTATAAATCGTTTCCAGGTGTAAGGGTTTAAGCGTTTCCAGGTGCGAACAAGAGGTGTGCCATAAACACCTTCACCCATCTCCTAAGTGATCGCTCTAGAGGAGGAATTCATCCTATGCGTCAATGATGCGCTTATTCCTGTTTATAATTCTCCCTTCATGTTATTCTCCACGACTACAGAATGGCTTAGATACATGTACGTGTGATCTCTCTAATCAGAGAATAATCCAATTGGTCTTGTTTACTTCATAACCTGAGTTTTCGAGTTAACGGAGTTCACTTCCGATTTATGTGCATTTTTACCTTTTTCTCGATCTCGCTAACTTTCTTGGTTATCGTTTTTCTATGTCAGCGTTCGAAAAGACGGCGATGTAATCTGACAAATGTTGGTTCACAGTACTAATGCGGTTGTTGTTATTGCCATAATCTGGTGACGGTGTTAACCACCACACACTGCGATCTGCATCTTGGCAAGCTAGTTCCACTCTGCCCGACGTCTTTTTCTGTGAAAACGATAAGAGGTAGATAGAATAGCTGTATTTTCACATGTATTTCCGATAACGGTCCACATGACTTCTCAGGTTCGCCTGGCCACATTCTTATGTGGTGGTAACAGGCATTCGTTTCAACGTTCTCAAATGACTTCTCCAGTCTAGAAGAGCTAGGATAAACGGTAAATGGTATTTCTGATAGACACCAATGACCTTAAATAGACTTTGGAAGTCGCTTATGCAGCAGAATCGTTGTGAAAACTATGCTCGCTTAACAAGCAGAACTGGATCTAAAGTCTTTGCTGTACACTTGAGGGCAGTTCCTGTGAGGACTAGTGGTGCACATCACCTGTATCACCTATCGACCCATTGATCGCCGAGCGACTCGAGCGGGCGCCAATAAATGTTCCATTTTTCCCTGTCGCGTGCAAGAGCAGCCCAATGGGTTCTGCTCGCTCAAGGGACTCGTCGAGCGTCGTATTTTTCTTCAAGGCTTTTCATGATAAACTCTGATCAACGGATCGGTGGCCTTCTTGCAGTGCGTTTGACATCCCGAGGAATCCAGTCACTAACGGCTCTTGTCCATCGGTTGTCATTCATACGCAATACGTATCCGGCCCACCTTATCTTCGACTGTTTGGCGTACAGAACGGGATCTTCGATTTTTGATCGTTGACGCAGGTCCGAGCTTCGGATACCTCCCAAGCCGCTCGTTTTCTTCTGCTCAGCTCTGGAGCTAAGTCGTTCAACATGTTGATTTCCCGATACAAACATAACTGGAGCATTCGTAGATATTCGTTCCGTTGAGCGTGAGTGGGTCATACGAAACCAATCCGTTCCTCATGAACATCGTTTTTGTGAGATTTAGTCGAAGACTAATCTTTCCACAGGCTTTATCAAAGTCCGCTAGCGTATATTCCACTTAGCTAATGTTGGTTTTACAAGGACTATGTCACCAGCAAAGCGAAGATGATGTGACTGCCGACCATCGATTTTCACTCCTATTGCAATGTTCGCATGACGGTCTCGAGAGTGGCGATAAATAACTTTGGAGATATGGTGTTGCCTTGCAAAACCGCTCTCTTGACATCGATGATAAAATATCGTTGTAGAATGGTGACACCTTGGTTGTGAAATTTTTGTATAGCTCACGAGGAATCTTTGTGTACTGAGTAGGGACTCCTTGACTATAAAGTGCTTCCATGACTGGTTCTGTCTCAATTGAATCGAAAAACTTCTTTAAATCGAAGGAAGTGAAGCAGAGTTCTCTTTTGTACTCTCGCGTTACTTCAATGAGCCGTGTTACCGTGAGGATGTGGTCCATCGTACTAAATCCTTTTTAAAACCCGGCTTACTCACATGGTTGTCCTTCGACCAGTGTTTTGTAAATCCTGTTTAGGATGACTCGAGTGGAAAGTTTGTAGACGAGAGACAGCAAGTAGATTAGGAGATAGTTGCTTATATCGTGTAGGACACCCTTCCTGAACAATAACACGGCCCTGCTGGCCCTCCACTGAGTAGGCATCTTGCATTCAGACAGGTAACGTGTGAAGAGCCTAGCTAGTGTGTTTACGAGGACTGGCGGAAGGTTCTTCAGGTGTTCTAATCTTATCCTGTCCGAACCTAGTGCTGTTCGACTTTTCACCGACGAAATGGCATATCGTATTTCGGAAGGGAGAACCATTGGTACTACATATCCATTTCCCTCTATTTCATATGACAGAATGTGGACGTGGCTATCGAAGAGATCTGAGTGTATTCGTGAATGATTTCCTCCAATGCCTTTCTGGACGCTGTAACTGTACCGTCTGGGCGTCGGAGTTAAATCATCTTGGTCTTGTAATTGGCGAAGCTTTGGTGGGCTTTGAGAATGCTTTTCCGAGCCTCTGCAGCTTCAGCCATTACTGCTGCTCCTTTCTCCTTAAGATCTTCTTTTATAGCCTGTCTGCATCGTTTTGCAAGTTTGGACACTAGTTAGCGGTTTCCTGCAGCTCGTGCGATTCCACGCTGGCGTATCAGCTCGAGTGCTTCTGGAGACAGACGTCTCTTGGTGATTTTCAAACTCTGAGCTTTTATAGCGCTAGCGTGAAGATGTTGAATGAGCCGATCGTATTCTTCGTCGATGTTATCGAAAACGGTACCTTCCCAACGCCGACCAATGAATTGAATAAGTTCCAGTTTATGGTGGTTTTGGGACTTCGGTTTTTGAATTTAGCGGTTTTTTCTCCTTTAGAATCTTGCATGAAGGCGACGATGGGCTGATCCCGTGTAGAATTTTGGAGCAACAGTGACATCGGTTAGGCAAAACCTTCTATTTACTATGATGTGGTCTACTTCGTTATGGTACTCTCCATTGGCAGGTTCCCACGTCCAGCGCTGAGGGTGGAGCTTCTGGAATTGCAAGTTACCATGGATGGCCTAGGTCGCCATGATAAGCTCAGACAGCCGCTCATCCTGTTCGTTCCATTCTAATTCGTGGGTCCCAATGTGACGTCCTTGAGACGTTCTTCTTGGTCCAATCTTGGCTTTGAAATCTCCAAAGATGACGTTGAAGAATGTATGGTGTTCCCTGTAGAATTTCTCCAAGTCCATATAAAACCCTTCGACTTCTTCGTCATAGTTTGATGTCGGCGTGTAAACGACGAAGGCTGTCAAACCCAATATTGATCCACATCTTTTCAATCGTAGAGGTCCGATTCGGGTTGGAAGTTGTTCGAATGAATCGATGTTTACGGATAAACTCGTGTTGATGACAACGTCGACACCGCCGACTCCTCTACTGTTGCACATACCGAGGAACAGTTCTTTTCCGGTGTCATAAACGGCTTTGAATGGGTGGCGTCTTCTCGCATCGGCTAGGCCGATGACGTCGTACTTTATCCTTCTTGATTACATGAACAAGTCTACTATCGAGGACTCGGATGCAAGTGCACGTGCGTTGTAGGCACAGATCGTCGCCATAGATCTTCGTGATCAAGGCAGCTTCCATTGGTTCTGAGATTTTAACAGGCTCTCCGTACTCGTTCTATCTAACGTTGCCAAATTGGGTGATCTTTCAGGGTCAGAGGAATGAGGCCTGTTTCTTTTACTGGTTTTAGCTTTTTGATACCCACGTATTGCTTGTTGGGCTCTGAGCGTGGGGCTGGGTATACTCACGGGTAGCTAGCCAGGTTCTCCCAGAGTGGACATGGAGTTCATTTGTTGGAGGCGACTCATAACCGCCTCCCATGTACTTCCCTGTCACTTGAGCGCAGGGTTCTTGCTGAATTGACCAGTAGAATACAATCCGCGAAAGCGAAAACCCACACGCGCATGCATGAATAAGCCTAGCAAATACAGAAAGTCTGTGGTAAATCGGCGCAGCAGAAACAGGGAGTCCATCTCTTTGATTCAGCAGCGCGTCAGGGAAGCAAAGGTCGCTTTTGGTCCGCGATTAACCCCCTATCCACCACCTGGAGACGCACCACGTAGCCTCGCGACCAAGCGGCTCGAGATCCCGCATGTGAGGGAGATCCGTGGGTGGTGCACATAGTGGTATTTATTTCAAAGAGAATCTAGTGTGGTGCATCCTCGTTATGGAATTGCGCCTACAGTTATATCGAGCCAATGCTGCCATCATCGCAGACAAATCTAGTACTCCGGGGTAAAAGACTTAGTGGGCTTGGAGAGCGGAAATCGATCCCATATGTACCGCGGGGCGCCTCCGACCATTGCGCCTCACGCGCCCTTTGCGCCACGCGCACCCACCCATGAAACAGTAGCGAAACATTTTTTTGCTACTTTTCAAATATCAAAATATTTGAACAAAGCGTGGAACAAATTTTTACTTAAGAACAAGAATGAGCACTTGCAGTTGGTCGATGTAATCGGACGTGAGTCACCAATTCTTGGTTCACGTACAAAGCGTGCTGAGACCTTGACAATGCTAATTAAAAATCGTCTTGAAAAGGTATATTCGTCATTTCACTGTGCTGCTGAAATCTAATTTCGATTTAATTGTCTTCTCTTGGGATCGCAACATAAGCTTGATAATTACGAACTACCTCGAACCGAAAATTCGCGCTGCCCATCAACGCCCTCAACTCAATATTTAATTGGTGACTCCAGCAGTGACCTATGCCATGCTTAGAGAGTCTTGGTGAACCTCAATTAATAACCTCGTTAAGTAGTTTTTTCTTATGAAATTGCATTTACTATTTAATCGCATTTAATTACAGATGATTGGTCACAACTTCATCATTTATGGATCACTGGAGGAAATGAAATGGACGGTCAAAGGATTGGAAAACTTGAAAGACAATGTCGAAGAAATGCATTTGCAAATGCGACTAAGCGTTGACGCTTGGAATTTGAGAATCATGGCCTTTAAAGTATTCATTCCCAAAAGATGGGATCACCACTTTCACATTGCCATTAATTTATTTGTCAAACGAGTCTATAGCCATTCTCTTGTTCTCCATTGACAATTAGTCTTTAGATCCAGACTTGCTCGGCTGAGAATGCAACGATGCTTTCGAGAAAGGGTAGGACGACGGAAACGTGAGTTTTGTTTGCTTAAACTGAACTATGGTTGCTGAACTACCTGCCTAGAATGCTTTCCTGGCTGACAGGATGATTCCTGAGCCAAAGCGATTAAAAATCTTTAACATCATCCTAGCCCCTTTAGTCGATGTCAAGTCAAGAAACGACGTCATAAAATAATTTTCTTTCCGTCCTCCTCACGAATTTTTATCGTTCAGCAATCGGGAACCGAAAATACTCGTAAAACTCCAAATGGCGTTCTTTTGTAAAGCTCAGAACCAGATGTGGCTTGACAGAAACAATATACAATAACGCATTTAGCTTGGGACCTGAACCTACACAGATAACTCCTGCTAATCGGCGTTTGGTTCGAAAAGGTCTTACGCCAGAGGCTAGATTGGCCCGTAGAGGCGAGACTCCAGACGCGACACCTCATCAGACACCTGTCCAATCAAGGAGAAGGAGCGCGGAGGTTACCGTTTAGTCTTAGCCTCTTTACTCCTGAAAAACTCTTTAGATGACTTATGAAGTTGCAGTGATGAAAAGATTTCCTTTTTTTTAAAAGTGTAAGGTTAAGGTGTTTGTACCTCGTAGCGGTCCTGATCCTTAAGAATAAACATAAACATCAATAAGAATTAGTCCATAGTTTGCACGCAGAAATATTGTTTTCAAATGAAGAGCAACATTTTTAATAACGAGATTTGCCTCGAATTCTATGAACTTTGCCCATATTTATGGAGATGTCTTATTGTGCCGCGAACCAGCTTAGTAAGAGATCCCTTCTCGACCAATTTCAAAACTATGTGTGCTTACTGAGGTGGTGGTTGAAGTGTGGGTTTGAGTGCTTATGTGCAAATAGTACCTATTAGTTAATTTAGAACAAAAATGCGATAAGATATCCACGGTGAAAAAATGTGAACCATTACCTCCTTTAAAATCTTCACCACCTAAGCAGCAATATCAAGCCGTCACGTAGACAAAGTCGAAATGTTCTATATTGAATTCTCACATTCGATTTTCTATTAACCTCAGGATTGATCAAATAATTTTCTATATTCTTGCTGAGTAAGCGCGGGGTGTTCCTTTATTCTTCGTTACGGTAAAGGTGACGTTTCGGCTGTATTGCCCTCTTTAGGGCTTGTAAAGGTATATTGATATGCAATTCATTGTGCCAAACTCGTCAATAACGCAAACAGAAAGATGGAAATCTAAATAGTAATCACATGATCAGCAGCTTGTCAAAAGCCCACCGTTTTTTACGTGAATTCCACTGAGGAAGAACAGCCGCTTAAACTCGCATACGCTTGATGAGTGCGCCACCCCAGATCAAAAGTCGACTCGAAGGTACAGGCCTAAATCACATGCAATCTCTAGGCATTCCTTCCTGCTACTCATTCTAGGTTCTTGGAATTTACCCAAAAAGCCCCAAAAATTTTGCGCGTTGGTGTTTTGGCATCCTGTGCGAGGATAGTGACTTTTATACCAAAATCGTCTCAATCAGACGTGATCTCGCCCGTATCTTCGCATCGACTTTTGGCGTGGGGTGGTGCACTCACCAACCATATGCGAGTCTGTGCGGCTGCTCTTCTTCAGTGGAATTCACGTAAGGAACGGTGGATTCTTCGAAAAGCTGTCATCTCAATCTGATTCAAGCCATATAGTTCAGATTCTCATTTTTTTGTGTTATTGAATCTATTGGTGTAATAAATTGCCTATCAATATACCCTTCTAGGCTCTGAAGAAGAGGATTCTACCGGAAAGTCAGCATTACCGTAATGAACAATAGGGTAACATCTCGTGTTTGCTCAAAAAGAATATGAAGTCCTATTACTAAATTACTCCTATATCTCCTATAGAATTACTCCTCCTATAATCGAAGTCAAAATGGTGAACTCATGCAAGAAAGATTTCTTTTTCAAATTGCTATGTGTGGAATAGAGTTCTTCTCTACTGTGTTTCTTCTAAATCTATGTGTTCAAGACGATTTTGAACGAACTCGGAAATAAAAGCAAAAGATCTCGGCAAAGTACGACAAAATAAACGGTTTAGCGCAAAATGAATCAAAACGAATTCATGCCGGTTAATTTATGGCGAAATTCATTAATATCTCACAAAATAGTCTCTTTTGAGATAAACTACGAAACAATAAATATATCGGTTTTTCAATAAGGAGTTTCAAATGGTGCTAGACTGCAATTACTGAATATAATTTTTACAACGAATTTCAAAGGGAGAGTTCCTAGTTTTCTCCAATTGTTGGTGAATGCCAACGCTTGCTCTATGGAAAAACATCTCGAAGATTTCATTAGCTCTTTGTCTCTAAAATGTCAAAACTTTTCCTTCTACCGTAGTACTGTGGTCACACATTACAATCATTGAGGCCGCTCGGCAGACGTGCGTATAGAATATCACTATCATTCAGATTTTTGTGAACACTTTGAGAAGTTTTGCAAATCACACAGTAGAGCTTGTTGTAAAAACTACATGCAGATGATACTAATGGGATGGAAATTTTGTGATTACAGTTGACCGAACAAGGAATTCGAGAAAAAGAGCTCTTTCTTTATGCTGGAAAAGCTCTTCGTTCGGGAAAGATGCGCCCAAGTGCCACGTCGGATACTGGCCAAGCATTGTCGTCCGCAGGAAAGCCGGCAGCGAACAACAATGATGATGTGCGTTGTTACGACTAAAGTGTGAAACATAATATGCAACTTCGAAGTTTCTTTCCTCGCGGTTTACTGTTGGATTATACGCAAAAATCCTATGGCCCATACAAAAAATCAACTCTACCCGGGTACGGAGCTCGTGTGCGTATTCTCCACAGTTGTGTTGACCATTTTCTTCATTTTCAACGTCTAAATGTGTTTCTCTTTCTACACTTTTTACCATGCCTTCTTTCCACTTGTCACTGTAAGTGCACAACAGCAGTCTTGTAGCTTCTTATCCGTCGCTCGAGTAGCAAGATCTACGCGCATCGTGAAGAAGTCTGCAAGTCAGGTTTACCGACTTTTTGCTGAGGATGTGTGAAACAGCCTAAAACTTCATCGCTTGTGGCATTTGCCTAACTGTTGTCGCTAAGAGGTATCAAATGCTTAGCACACTTGATTTACGACATTTGAGCGTATATTGCAGCAAATCTGATTTTCAATAGTCGATGTAGATCGGAATTTCAGGTTTAATCTTTGATTCACCTAAAATTGGGTACTTTTACCATCACCATCTTGGCAGCATTTCGAAAGGTCTGAGTGATCCTTCATTCTGCTTACATGCCATCAAGGTAGAAAAATTACTTGAGTGGAAAACGTAGGCAGAGAGCCGGCTGTTTCTTTTTCTCTTCTCTAAGCACAGGATGCTCATGTGAACTTCCCAGGTCAACTCGTCCTGCTCTGGAATTAACTCCATCATACTGAATTTTTCACCTATATACACCTATTCATTCTACTGATCGTGAAACCCAGAGGCGAATCCGTTCTCTATGAAACGCGCATAATTTGCGTGGAACTTACTCGAAGGCCAATCTTTCCACAGGCAATAGGAGATCAGCTAGCATTCCTTTCACCAAGCTATTGTTTAATGTAATAATGATTTTCCAAAAGCGGAATTGCTTGGACAACTTAAGGTCTTGGTGGAAACCGTGGCTAATGTTTTTCACTGACTTTCTGGTTCTAGTTGCTGCAGTAATTCGCAATGTTTCGTCATAAACTGTGAATCCTCTTTACAATATCGTAGCTGCATCTATTGATGCAGTACTCCCTTCTCAAGACCTTCTTTTGCCACCCGTCTAGAAAATTTTACAAATTCGCGTATGAGTTTGTGATGGCTTACAGCCGTTCGTTTCCACACTGGGCTTTCAAGCAATCGGATTGTGCAGTGTTATCACTGACGTCACACCTGTCTGTATTTGTGAAGGTGGTATTTCGCTAGAATTTGGCAGAAAGATCGAACAAACATTAGTTCGTAGTTAATATAAAACCTTGGTTCTTTGAATACGAAACGTTTCCCACTTTTTTCAGAGAAGGAGTGAATCTTACGAAGGGAAACAATACACTATCCCACGTAAAACTGTAGGAAAACAGCAACGGAAAAATTTCGATTTAATAAGAAGTTTGCCCTACGTGGATGGAGTGGTCAGCGCAGTGATAATGATGCAGCCCATTACGCCGACGGCTCAACCAATGTTTGACCTCACCTCGGGCCCACCAAAGCTTTCGTCACTCCGGAGTAGGGAGATCCTCACAGGATTTGTCTGGGATCTGATCGCTTTCTCTAGCCATGTGGAAGCACCGAATCATGGCTATCCCAGAGCATTAGGTAGAGTCGAATTGATCAGCATTTCAAAGACGTTCATAAACAAAGCGAAAATCCTCAAGTCGCGGTTAAATCCAGGGCAGCAAGTTTAAAGGCCCTTGTTGATCATGGATATAAGAAAACGGATCAAATGCAAGTGTGTATTCCACAGAAAGTGATATGGTGTTGGGCCGTGTCATAATACCAATAAGAAAAAAGGCTTAATATGAACAATAGTAACAGTGATAACCACAACGATGCTGAGATATTTGCAAAACTCCGGACCGCATGTGTCTGCGTTGGGGAGTGAACCCGCTATTACCCTTTCCGAGGGTTTACGCATTCACCACCACATCATGCATGTCTTTTGTTTCGCGTTTCTCTCAGCTTTGAAAATACCTTGCCACAAAAAAAGAATAATCTGTAAATAAAAAGTGATTACAATGTGATTTATACTACAGTTTCGGTTGGACGGGGCTCAATGTAGATTTGTGCTTCCCAGATCAACCCCGGTGCCGAGTGACGGCTGATAGCAGCTATAAAACACGGATTAGAGGAACGCGAAACGAAGGACACGCTTGGTATCGTAGTGTACACGTTAGACATCGGAAAGAGTAGTAGCGTGTTTGATTCCCACCGAAGACACCTGCTGTCTGAAGATTTGCAAATATCTCATCATCATTATGATTATATAGGCTATTTTCAATATAACTCCCAAGTCCGACTTTCTATTAACCTTGGCATTGAATAATTCTTTCTACTTCTGTTCAGCAAACGCGAGGTGCTATTTTATTTCTTTATTTATGGAGAAGCTTCCCAGGTTCTGAGGAAGGCGAAATCCGCCGAAACGTTAGCTTGTCCGTAAATAAAGAAATAAAATAGCACCTCGCGTTTGCTGAACAGAAGTAGAAAGAATTATTTTCATTGCAGTTTTATTAATCGATGACTTCATCAGCAGGCGGATGCAATCAATCGCAATCATAATTGTTCTTTTAGGTGAACAGCAAGCACACATCAACGGTGAAGAACACTCAATTGAGTGAAGTTGATTTGAAGGCAAAAGGTGGCCCTGCAATATCTATATAGTGGAGAGTGGAAGGAATAAGTCAAAAAGGAATTGGAAACAATTATGTCGGCATACTAGATCTAAATCTTATTTGTACGAATTATTGGGCATTTTGGGCTTGAAATATTTTGTGTGCTCCAGAGGTAAATGGTTGTACCTCGATCTTCGATGGTTGGGTTTCTTCTTCTTCGCCATTTTGCACCAAATGTTGCTCCGATTTGGATTAGATTATGCGACTTTTCAACTGTTCTTATGTACAACCTTAGGCTTAGGCTTAGGCTTAGGCTTAGGCTTAGGCTTAGGCTTAGGCTTAGGCTTAGGCTTAGGCTTAGGCTTAGGC